TCGGTACTGCTTCAGGTCGTGCAGGCTTTTCTAAGTCGTTCACCGAACATGGCGTTATCATCGGTCTTGTTTCGGTGCGTGCTGATTTGACCTATCAACAGGGTCTTGACCGTGCGTGGTCTCGTTCGTACCAAATTTGATTATTACTGGCCTTCCTTTGCTCACCTCGGTGAACAGGCTGTGTTTAACAAGGAGATCATGTATACTGGTACGGCAACAGGATGATGAAGTCTTTGGCTATCAGGAACGTTGGGCCGAGCTTCGTTATGGTTCGTCTAAAATCACTGGTAAGCTCCGCTCTGGTGTGGCTCAGTCTCTTGATGTTTGGCATCTTGCCCAGCAATTTCACGACTGTTCCTACTCTTAGTCAGCAGTTCATTGAGGAGAATCCGCCGCTTAAGCGTGTACTTGCTGTACAGGATGAGCCTGAGATTATCTTTGATAGTCTGACCCTTGTAATACTGTTCGGTGTCTTCCGACTTATTCTGTCCCCGGTCTTGTTGATCATTTTTAATATGGGTTTTTTTAAATCTATCAAGAAGGCCATTAAAAACCCCACTCATAGCACGCTTGGTAAAGCTGTTATGAGTGTGGGGTGATGGTACTGGCGGACTTGTGTCGCACTACAGCGACAAGCTACGACGTAGGTATGGTTTGACACGTTCTGCTTTGGTAATGTCGCCCGTCCCTAATTCGGCTGCATCTTCTAGTATGATCAGTCCTAATCGTCTTACTCTTTCTCAAATGACTGGAGGTAGATAATGTGGGGCGCTCTCGCTTCTTCTGCTGCTTCCGTTTATGGCGCTTGGCTTCAGTCCAATGCGGCTTCTCGTGCTAATCAAGCTAATATTGATCAGCAGGATAAGGCTAATGCCATGACGATTGATTTGTCTAATACGTCTCATCAACGTGAGGTTAACGATCTCCGCGCGGCTAATCTTAATCCGATTCTTTCTGCTGGTGGTAATGGTGCTTCTTCGCCTACGCTTGGTTCTGCTACTGTTCAGAATACTGGTTCTGACTTTGGCAACAGCGCGCGTGCCGTTGGAGCTTCTTTTCAACGTGCATTGAATACGGCTCAGCGGCTTGAGAATCATAGGGACAGCCGCCGAGGTTGATAATCTTCATGTTCAAAATGGCAATCTCTTTGAAGACAATAAGTTGAAGCAAGCTCAGGTTGATCAGATTGAGCAGGAGACGCGCAAGGCTAAGGCTGATGCTGATTTTGCGGAAGCTAAGGCCGCTCTTGCTCAGCCTGTAAAACAAGGTATTACAGGTTTAGAGTCTAGCGCAAAACATATTGGCGCGGCTGTTGGCGAGGGCTATTGGTAATAAGGTTAGTTCTGCCGCTTCGTCTCAGAGTTCTGGTAACTGGCAATTTTTTGATCCTGCCATTGGTCGGTATATTGACTGGTCCAAGGCACTTGAAAAATACGGTGATAAGGCCTTTTGAGATGCATGAGGAATCATTAAAAAGAAGGAGTAAAGTAAAATGAGTAAGCGTAAGCGTCTGACTCGTCGTGGTTCTAAGAAGCTTTTTAAGACTACGGCTGTAAAGGTCCACAAGTCTAATCTCATCCGTCCTATGCGCGGTGGTGAGCGTATGTAGTGTTCAGCAATTCTTAGCAAGGGTCGTCTAAACGACCCACTCCACCAAGAGGCGGCGAACGGGTGGCCGCCCCTTGGTGGTTAGGCTCACCCGTTAGAGGTCGCATCTCTATGTCATGTGAAAATCCTTCTGTTCTTTTTCGTAGACGTGGTGTCAATCTTTTGACTGGTCGGTTTTATCCACCCGTTTCGTTTTCTTGGATTGTTGATCATGGTCTTTCGCCCTTAAGTTTTGAAGAAATCTCCGTTCCTTGCGGCAAATGTTTTTCTTGCCTGAAGTCCAAGGCGCGTGATGTGACTTTGCGTGCTTTCCATGAAGCTAAGGAGCATGCTCATAATTCGTTTGTAACTCTGACTGTTTCTCCCGAGAATCTTGGCAAGGTCTTTCCAGCCGTTCAAATGCCCGGCGGTCCTTTCCGTTATTCTCTCTCGCATCGTCCGTTTCAACTTTTTATGAAGCGTCTTCGGCAGAATCTTGGATATGATAAGATTCGTTTTCTGATGTGTGCTGAGTATGGAGAGAAAACAGAGCGTCCTCATTATCATTGCATTTTGTTTGGAGTTTCTCCTGATGAGCGTCAGCCTCTTGCCATTGTCAAGACTGATCCCCTTCTTGGCAGTTCTCGCTCTCTCTATTCTGGTTTTCTGCGCTCTGCGGCCATTGAAAAGGCTTGGCCTTTCGGCAATGTCTATATTGGTTTTTGTTCCCCTTCTTCTATTGCATATTGTGCTGGCTATACGATGAAGGCTTGGACACTTGGCCGTGACCGTAAATGGTATAGTTCTCGCGGTTTGCTCCCTGAGTATCAGAAATGGTCTCGGCGACCTGGTTTAGGTTCTCTCTGGCTAGAGCACAATCTTAGTGATTTGTATCGGTGTAATGATTTTTTACGTCCCGGAGTTGCCGATAATTCTTGCATGATGTCTGGTTGTACTCTACCGCTTCCAAAGTATTATCGTTCTCGTGTTCAGGCTTTGGCTTCTAAAGAAGTCGATCTTTTGTCTCCCGATCGTGATTTGGTATTGCTTTCGCGCAAAAAAAATGATATTATTATTAATAGTCAGTTGGAGTTAATGCGACTAGCTCCTTCTGAGTCGTATAAAGTTGGTGATGATGAGCGGTTAGAAGCTCTGAGGAATAGACTTGAACTGCAAAAGTTCAAAGTTGCTGAGCGTAAGCGGCTTTGATTCATTATTCATGAAAGGAGTTGTTATGAAGTATATTCTTGTTTCTGTCTATGATAGCAAGGCTAAAATTTATTCGCCTGTGTCTCAGGTTGAAAATGATACTGTTGCTACCCGTATGTTTTCGGATCTTGTGAATAGTGCGGACTCTGTTATTGGTAAGCATCCCGAGGATTTTACTCTTTTTAAGCTCGGTCTTTTCTCCGCAGAAGATGGCCTTCTTGAAAAGGTTGATCGTGTTGCGATTTGTAATGGTGTTGATCTTAAGCAGGTGTGATTATGTTTCATACTCGTTTTAATCCCCCGCCTAGTCCTTCGCTTGAGTGCGCTCTTGGTTCGTCCAAGACTATTCAGGATTTTAGGGATGAGGCTGATATCAATAAGCTGGTTAATCGGTTTTCTGAAACTGGCCAGTTTTATGACCCCTTGACTAATCAGAATGCTTCTCAGCGTCAGCCAATGTTTGGTGATTTCACTTGTGCGCCTGATTATCAGGCCGCTTGTGATCTTGTTCTCGAAGCAAACGCACGGTTTGAGGCTCTTCCGTCTGATGTACGCGAACGTTTCGGCAATGATCCTGCCAAGCTCCTCGCGTTTCTCGATGATGATGACAATAGAGCTGAGGCGGTCAAGCTTGGTCTCGTTAACGCACCGCCAGAGCCGCCGACGACGCCGCCGACGACGACGGCGCCTGTGACGGAGTAAAAACAGTCGGGCATATCTATTAACTTGATTATATATGCCCGACTGACATATCAAATTCCGCTAAATTTTCACTTCCAATAAAGGTTCATTACAATGGGTTTTAATTCGTCTGATTGGTCTCGTTTGGCTCTTGAAATTCTACGGGTTATCATTGCCGCTCTTGCTGGCGGCGGAACTGCTGTTGTTACAGGTTCTTTTTAAGAGGATATAGTTATGCGCTCTGCTAGTAATTATTCGTTTGCCGTTGCTCCGTCTGTCCAAATGCCGCGCTCTTCGTTTAAGCGCGATCGCACCTATAAGACGGCTTTTGATTCTGGCTATCTTGTTCCGTTTTTTGCGGATGAGGTCTATCCCGGAGACACTTTCAATGGTTCTACTGTTGCCTTTGCGCGGCTTTCTACTCCCGTAGTGCCTTTCATGGACAATCTGCATATGGACTTTTTCTATTTCTTCGTCCCTTACCGTCTTCTCTGGGATCATTGGAAGAATATGATGGGTGAACAGGATAATCCTAGTGATTCTACGGATTATTTGACTCCTTTGGTTGAGTCCCCTTCTGCTGGTTGGTCCGTTGGTTCGCTCGCGGACTATTTTGGAATTCCTGTAGAAAAGCCCATTTCTACGAATTGTTGGCTTTTCCGTGCTTACAATAAAATTTACAATGATCATTTTCGTGATGAGAATTTGATTGATAGTATCCCTGAGAATCGTGGTGATGGTCCTGATTCGGCTGATGACTATGTATTGCGGAAGCGTGGTAAGCGTTGGGACTATCTCACTGGCTGTCTTCCGTGGCCTCAGAAGGGCCCTGGTGCCAGTATCGGTCTCGCTGGTGATGCTCCTGTGCATGGTGATATTAACGGTCTTCGTTTCACTGATGGCACTACTAGTTATGTTATTGCTGGTCGTTCTGGCGGTACTACTGCTAATGGGATGCCCCTTTATGCTGTTTCTACTGGTTCTCGTCTGGATGTTGGTGCTACCGCTCCTTCTTCTGGTCTGACTTTGAATGCTAACCATGTTCTTGGTGTGCGTTCTGCGTCTGGTAATTCTGGTCTTGTTGCTGATCTCTCGGAAGCGGCATCCGTTACTATTAATTCGTTGCGGACTGCTTTTCAGATTCAGAAATGGTATGAAAAATGCGCCCGTGGCGGCACTCGTTACGGTGAGCTTCTGCGAGCCCATTTTGGTGTGATTAATCCTGATGCGCGTCTTCAGCGTTCTGAGTATATCGGTGGTGGTTCTATTCCTATCCAGATTCATACTGTGGCTCAGACTTCTGCTACTGATGATGTTACACCTCAGGGCAATCTTGCCGCGTTCGGTACTGCTTCAGGTCGTGCAGGCTTTTCTAAGTCGTTCACCGAACATGGCGTTATCATCGGTCTTGTTTCGGTGCGTGCTGATTTGACCTATCAACAGGGTCTTGACCGTGCGTGGTCTCGTCGTACCAAATTTGATTATTACTGGCCTTCCTTTGCTCACCTCGGTGAACAGGCTGTGTTTAACAAGGAGATCATGTATACTGGTACGGCACAGGATGATGAAGTCTTTGGCTATCAGGAACGTTGGGCCGAGCTTCGTTATGGTTCGTCTAAAATCACTGGTAAGCTCCGCTCTGGTGTGGCTCAGTCTCTTGATGTTTGGCATCTTGCCCAGCATTTCACGACTGTTCCTACTCTTAGTCAGCAGTTCATTGAGGAGAATCCGCCGCTTAAGCGTGTACTTGCTGTACAGGATGAGCCTGAGATTATCTTTGATAGTCTGACCACTTGTAATACTGTTCGGTGTCTTCCGACTTATTCTGTCCCCGGTCTTGTTGATCATTTTTAATATGGGTTTTTTTAAATCTATCAAGAAGGCCATTAAAAACCCCACTCATAGCACGCTTGGTAAAGCTGTTATGAGTGTGGGTGATGGTACTGGCGGACTTGTGTCGCACTACAGCGACAAGCTACGACGTAGGTATGGTTTGACACGTTCTGCTTTGGTAATGTCGCCCGTCCCTAATTCGGCTGCATCTTCTAGTATGATCAGTCCTAATCGTCTTACTCTTTCTCAAATGACTGGAGGTAGATAATGTGGGGCGCTCTCGCTTCTTCTGCTGCTTCCGTTTATGGCGCTTGGCTTCAGTCCAATGCGGCTTCTCGTGCTAATCAAGCTAATATTGATCAGCAGGATAAGGCTAATGCCATGACGATTGATTTGTCTAATACGTCTCATCAACGTGAGGTTAACGATCTCCGCGCGGCTAATCTTAATCCGATTCTTTCTGCTGGTGGTAATGGTGCTTCTTCGCCTACGCTTGGTTCTGCTACTGTTCAGAATACTGGTTCTGACTTTGGCAACAGCGCGCGTGCCGTTGGAGCTTCTTTTCAACGTGCATTGAATACGGCTCAGCGGCTTGAGAATCATAGGACAGCCGCCGAGGTTGATAATCTTCATGTTCAAAATGGCAATCTCTTTGAAGACAATAAGTTGAAGCAAGCTCAGGTTGATCAGATTGAGCAGGAGACGCGCAAGGCTAAGGCTGATGCTGATTTTGCGGAAGCTAAGGCCGCTCTTGCTCAGCCTGTAAAACAAGGTATTACAGGTTTAGAGTCTAGCGCAAAACATATTGGCGCGGCTGTTGGCGAGGCTATTGGTAATAAGGTTAGTTCTGCCGCTTCGTCTCAGAGTTCTGGTAACTGGCAATTTTTTGATCCTGCCATTGGTCGGTATATTGACTGGTCCAAGGCACTTGAAAAATACGGTGATAAGGCTTTTGAGATGCATGAGGAATCATTAAAAAGAAGGAGTAAAGTAAAATGAGTAAGCGTAAGCGTCTGACTCGTCGTGGTTCTAAGAAGCTTTTTAAGACTACGGCTGTAAAGGTCCACAAGTCTAATCTCATCCGTCCTATGCGCGGTGGTGAGCGTATGTAGTGTTCAGCAATTCTTAGCAAGGGTCGTCTAAACGACCCACTCCACCAAGAGGCGGCGAACGGGTGGCCGCCCCTTGGTGGTTAGGCTCACCCGTTAGAGGTCGCATCTCTATGTCATGTGAAAATCCTTCTGTTCTTTTTCGTAGACGTGGTGTCAATCTTTTGACTGGTCGGTTTTATCCACCCGTTTCGTTTTCTTGGATTGTTGATCATGGTCTTTCGCCCTTAAGTTTTGAAGAAATCTCCGTTCCTTGCGGCAAATGTTTTTCTTGCCTGAAGTCCAAGGCGCGTGATGTGACTTTGCGTGCTTTCCATGAAGCTAAGGAGCATGCTCATAATTCGTTTGTAACTCTGACTGTTTCTCCCGAGAATCTTGGCAAGGTCTTTCCAGCCGTTCAAATGCCCGGCGGTCCTTTCCGTTATTCTCTCTCGCATCGTCCGTTTCAACTTTTTATGAAGCGTCTTCGGCAGAATCTTGGATATGATAAGATTCGTTTTCTGATGTGTGCTGAGTATGGAGAGAAAACAGAGCGTCCTCATTATCATTGCATTTTGTTTGGAGTTTCTCCTGATGAGCGTCAGCCTCTTGCCATTGTCAAGACTGATCCCCTTCTTGGCAGTTCTCGCTCTCTCTATTCTGGTTTTCTGCGCTCTGCGGCCATTGAAAAGGCTTGGCCTTTCGGCAATGTCTATATTGGTTTTTGTTCCCCTTCTTCTATTGCATATTGTGCTGGCTATACGATGAAGGCTTGGACACTTGGCCGTGACCGTAAATGGTATAGTTCTCGCGGTTTGCTCCCTGAGTATCAGAAATGGTCTCGGCGACCTGGTTTAGGTTCTCTCTGGCTAGAGCACAATCTTAGTGATTTGTATCGGTGTAATGATTTTTTACGTCCCGGAGTTGCCGATAATTCTTGCATGATGTCTGGTTGTACTCTACCGCTTCCAAAGTATTATCGTTCTCGTGTTCAGGCTTTGGCTTCTAAAGAAGTCGATCTTTTGTCTCCCGATCGTGATTTGGTATTGCTTTCGCGCAAAAAAAATGATATTATTATTAATAGTCAGTTGGAGTTAATGCGACTATAGCTCCTTCTGAGTCGTATAAAGTTGGTGATGATGAGCGGTTAGAAGCTCTGAGGAATAGACTTGAACTGCAAAAGTTCAAAGTTGCTGAGCGTAAGCGGCTTTGATTCATTATTCATGAAAGGAGTTGTTATGAAGTATATTCTTGTTTCTGTCTATGATAGCAAGGCTAAAATTTATTCGCCTGTGTCTCAGGTTGAAAATGATACTGTTGCTACCCGTATGTTTTCGGATCTTGTGAATAGTGCGGACTCTGTTATTGGTAAGCATCCCGAGGATTTTACTCTTTTTAAGCTCGGTCTTTTCTCCGCAGAAGATGGCCTTCTTGAAAAGGTTGATCGTGTTGCGATTTGTAATGGTGTTGATCTTAAGCAGGTGTGATTATGTTTCATACTCGTTTTAATCCCCCGCCTAGTCCTTCGCTTGAGTGCGCTCTTGGTTCGTCCAAGACTATTCAGGATTTTAGGGATGAGGCTGATATCAATAAGCTGGTTAATCGGTTTTCTGAAACTGGCCAGTTTTATGACCCCTTGACTAATCAGAATGCTTCTCAGCGTCAGCCAATGTTTGGTGATTTCACTTGTGCGCCTGATTATCAGGCCGCTTGTGATCTTGTTCTCGAAGCAAACGCACGGTTTGAGGCTCTTCCGTCTGATGTACGCGAACGTTTCGGCAATGATCCTGCCAAGCTCCTCGCGTTTCTCGATGATGATGACAATAGAGCTGAGGCGGTCAAGCTTGGTCTCGTTAACGCACCGCCAGAGCCGCCGACGACGCCGCCGACGACGACGGCGCCTGTGACGGAGTAAAAACAGTCGGGCATATCTATTAACTTGATTATATATGCCCGACTGACATATCAAATTCCGCTAAATTTTCACTTCCAATAAAGGTTCATTACAATGGGTTTTAATTCGTCTGATTGGTCTCGTTTGGCTCTTGAAATTCTACGGGTTATCATTGCCGCTCTTGCTGGCGGCGGAACTGCTGTTGTTACAGGTTCTTTTTAAGAGGATATAGTTATGCGCTCTGCTAGTAATTATTCGTTTGCCGTTGCTCCGTCTGTCCAAATGCCGCGCTCTTCGTTTAAGCGCGATCGCACCTATAAGACGGCTTTTGATTCTGGCTATCTTGTTCCGTTTTTTGCGGATGAGGTCTATCCCGGAGACACTTTCAATGGTTCTACTGTTGCCTTTGCGCGGCTTTCTACTCCCGTAGTGCCTTTCATGGACAATCTGCATATGGACTTTTTCTATTTCTTCGTCCCTTACCGTCTTCTCTGGGATCATTGGAAGAATATGATGGGTGAACAGGATAATCCTAGTGATTCTACGGATTATTTGACTCCTTTGGTTGAGTCCCCTTCTGCTGGTTGGTCCGTTGGTTCGCTCGCGGACTATTTTGGAATTCCTGTAGAAAAGCCCATTTCTACGAATTGTTGGCTTTTCCGTGCTTACAATAAAATTTACAATGATCATTTTCGTGATGAGAATTTGATTGATAGTATCCCTGAGAATCGTGGTGATGGTCCTGATTCGGCTGATGACTATGTATTGCGGAAGCGTGGTAAGCGTTGGGACTATCTCACTGGCTGTCTTCCGTGGCCTCAGAAGGGCCCTGGTGCCAGTATCGGTCTCGCTGGTGATGCTCCTGTGCATGGTGATATTAACGGTCTTCGTTTCACTGATGGCACTACTAGTTATGTTATTGCTGGTCGTTCTGGCGGTACTACTGCTAATGGGATGCCCCTTTATGCTGTTTCTACTGGTTCTCGTCTGGATGTTGGTGCTACCGCTCCTTCTTCTGGTCTGACTTTGAATGCTAACCATGTTCTTGGTGTGCGTTCTGCGTCTGGTAATTCTGGTCTTGTTGCTGATCTCTCGGAAGCGGCATCCGTTACTATTAATTCGTTGCGGACTGCTTTTCAGATTCAGAAATGGTATGAAAAATGCGCCCGTGGCGGCACTCGTTACGGTGAGCTTCTGCGAGCCCATTTTGGTGTGATTAATCCTGATGCGCGTCTTCAGCGTTCTGAGTATATCGGTGGTGGTTCTATTCCTATCCAGATTCATACTGTGGCTCAGACTTCTGCTACTGATGATGTTACACCTCAGGGCAATCTTGCCGCGTTCGGTACTGCTTCAGGTCGTGCAGGCTTTTCTAAGTCGTTCACCGAACATGGCGTTATCATCGGTCTTGTTTCGGTGCGTGCTGATTTGACCTATCAACAGGGTCTTGACCGTGCGTGGTCTCGTCGTACCAAATTTGATTATTACTGGCCTTCCTTTGCTCACCTCGGTGAACAGGCTGTGTTTAACAAGGAGATCATGTATACTGGTACGGCACAGGATGATGAAGTCTTTGGCTATCAGGAACGTTGGGCCGAGCTTCGTTATGGTTCGTCTAAAATCACTGGTAAGCTCCGCTCTGGTGTGGCTCAGTCTCTTGATGTTTGGCATCTTGCCCAGCATTTCACGACTGTTCCTACTCTTAGTCAGCAGTTCATTGAGGAGAATCCGCCGCTTAAGCGTGTACTTGCTGTACAGGATGAGCCTGAGATTATCTTTGATAGTCTGACCACTTGTAATACTGTTCGGTGTCTTCCGACTTATTCTGTCCCCGGTCTTGTTGATCATTTTTAATATGGGTTTTTTTAAATCTATCAAGAAGGCCATTAAAAACCCCACTCATAGCACGCTTGGTAAAGCTGTTATGAGTGTGGGTGATGGTACTGGCGGACTTGTGTCGCACTACAGCGACAAGCTACGACGTAGGTATGGTTTGACACGTTCTGCTTTGGTAATGTCGCCCGTCCCTAATTCGGCTGCATCTTCTAGTATGATCAGTCCTAATCGTCTTACTCTTTCTCAAATGACTGGAGGTAGATAATGTGGGGCGCTCTCGCTTCTTCTGCTGCTTCCGTTTATGGCGCTTGGCTTCAGTCCAATGCGGCTTCTCGTGCTAATCAAGCTAATATTGATCAGCAGGATAAGGCTAATGCCATGACGATTGATTTGTCTAATACGTCTCATCAACGTGAGGTTAACGATCTCCGCGCGGCTAATCTTAATCCGATTCTTTCTGCTGGTGGTAATGGTGCTTCTTCGCCTACGCTTGGTTCTGCTACTGTTCAGAATACTGGTTCTGACTTTGGCAACAGCGCGCGTGCCGTTGGAGCTTCTTTTCAACGTGCATTGAATACGGCTCAGCGGCTTGAGAATCATAGGACAGCCGCCGAGGTTGATAATCTTCATGTTCAAAATGGCAATCTCTTTGAAGACAATAAGTTGAAGCAAGCTCAGGTTGATCAGATTGAGCAGGAGACGCGCAAGGCTAAGGCTGATGCTGATTTTGCGGAAGCTAAGGCCGCTCTTGCTCAGCCTGTAAAACAAGGTATTACAGGTTTAGAGTCTAGCGCAAAACATATTGGCGCGGCTGTTGGCGAGGCTATTGGTAATAAGGTTAGTTCTGCCGCTTCGTCTCAGAGTTCTGGTAACTGGCAATTTTTTGATCCTGCCATTGGTCGGTATATTGACTGGTCCAAGGCACTTGAAAAATACGGTGATAAGGCTTTTGAGATGCATGAGGAATCATTAAAAAGAAGGAGTAAAGTAAAATGAGTAAGCGTAAGCGTCTGACTCGTCGTGGTTCTAAGAAGCTTTTTAAGACTACGGCTGTAAAGGTCCACAAGTCTAATCTCATCCGTCCTATGCGCGGTGGTGAGCGTATGTAGTGTTCAGCAATTCTTAGCAAGGGTCGTCTAAACGACCCACTCCACCAAGAGGCGGCGAACGGGTGGCCGCCCCTTGGTGGTTAGGCTCACCCGTTAGAGGTCGCATCTCTATGTCATGTGAAAATCCTTCTGTTCTTTTTCGTAGACGTGGTGTCAATCTTTTGACTGGTCGGTTTTATCCACCCGTTTCGTTTTCTTGGATTGTTGATCATGGTCTTTCGCCCTTAAGTTTTGAAGAAATCTCCGTTCCTTGCGGCAAATGTTTTTCTTGCCTGAAGTCCAAGGCGCGTGATGTGACTTTGCGTGCTTTCCATGAAGCTAAGGAGCATGCTCATAATTCGTTTGTAACTCTGACTGTTTCTCCCGAGAATCTTGGCAAGGTCTTTCCAGCCGTTCAAATGCCCGGCGGTCCTTTCCGTTATTCTCTCTCGCATCGTCCGTTTCAACTTTTTATGAAGCGTCTTCGGCAGAATCTTGGATATGATAAGATTCGTTTTCTGATGTGTGCTGAGTATGGAGAGAAAACAGAGCGTCCTCATTATCATTGCATTTTGTTTGGAGTTTCTCCTGATGAGCGTCAGCCTCTTGCCATTGTCAAGACTGATCCCCTTCTTGGCAGTTCTCGCTCTCTCTATTCTGGTTTTCTGCGCTCTGCGGCCATTGAAAAGGCTTGGCCTTTCGGCAATGTCTATATTGGTTTTTGTTCCCCTTCTTCTATTGCATATTGTGCTGGCTATACGATGAAGGCTTGGACACTTGGCCGTGACCGTAAATGGTATAGTTCTCGCGGTTTGCTCCCTGAGTATCAGAAATGGTCTCGGCGACCTGGTTTAGGTTCTCTCTGGCTAGAGCACAATCTTAGTGATTTGTATCGGTGTAATGATTTTTTACGTCCCGGAGTTGCCGATAATTCTTGCATGATGTCTGGTTGTACTCTACCGCTTCCAAAGTATTATCGTTCTCGGTTCAGGCTTTGGCTTCTAAAGAAGTCGATCTTTTGTCTCCCGATCGTGATTTGGTATTGCTTTCGCGCAAAAAAAAATGATATTATTATTAATAGTCAGTTGGAGTTAATGCGACTAGCTCCTTCTGAGTCGTATAAAGTTGGTGATGATGAGCGGTTAGAAGCTCTGAGGAATAGACTTGAACTGCAAAAGTTCAAAGTTGCTGAGCGTAAGCGGCTTTGATTCATTATTCATGAAAGGAGTTGTTATGAAGTATATTCTTGTTTCTGTCTATGATAGCAAGGCTAAAATTTATTCGCCTGTGTCTCAGGTTGAAAATGATACTGTTGCTACCCGTATGTTTTCGGATCTTGTGAATAGTGCGGACTCTGTTATTGGTAAGCATCCCGAGGATTTTACTCTTTTTAAGCTCGGTCTTTTCTCCGCAGAAGATGGCCTTCTTGAAAAGGTTGATCGTGTTGCGATTTGTAATGGTGTTGATCTTAAGCAGGTGTGATTATGTTTCATACTCGTTTTAATCCCCCGCCTAGTCCTTCGCTTGAGTGCGCTCTTGGTTCGTCCAAGACTATTCAGGATTTTAGGGATGAGGCTGATATCAATAAGCTGGTTAATCGGTTTTCTGAAACTGGCCAGTTTTATGACCCCTTGACTAATCAGAATGCTTCTCAGCGTCAGCCAATGTTTGGTGATTTCACTTGTGCGCCTGATTATCAGGCCGCTTGTGATCTTGTTCTCGAAGCAAACGCACGGTTTGAGGCTCTTCCGTCTGATGTACGCGAACGTTTCGGCAATGATCCTGCCAAGCTCCTCGCGTTTCTCGATGATGATGACAATAGAGCTGAGGCGGTCAAGCTTGGTCTCGTTAACGCACCGCCAGAGCCGCCGACGACGCCGCCGACGACGACGGCGCCTGTGACGGAGTAAAAACAGTCGGGCATATCTATTAACTTGATTATATATGCCCGACTGACATATCAAATTCCGCTAAATTTTCACTTCCAATAAAGGTTCATTACAATGGGTTTTAATTCGTCTGATTGGTCTCGTTTGGCTCTTGAAATTCTACGGGTTATCATTGCCGCTCTTGCTGGCGGCGGAACTGCTGTTGTTACAGGTTCTTTTTAAGAGGATATAGTTATGCGCTCTGCTAGTAATTATTCGTTTGCCGTTGCTCCGTCTGTCCAAATGCCGCGCTCTTCGTTTAAGCGCGATCGCACCTATAAGACGGCTTTTGATTCTGGCTATCTTGTTCCGTTTTTTGCGGATGAGGTCTATCCCGGAGACACTTTCAATGGTTCTACTGTTGCCTTTGCGCGGCTTTCTACTCCCGTAGTGCCTTTCATGGACAATCTGCATATGGACTTTTTCTATTTCTTCGTCCCTTACCGTCTTCTCTGGGATCATTGGAAGAATATGATGGGTGAAATGGGTGAACAGGATAATCCTAGTGATTCTACGGATTATTTGACTCCTTTGGTTGAGTCCCCTTCTGCTGGTTGGTCCGTTGGTTCGCTCGCGGACTATTTTGGAATTCCTGTAGAAAAGCCCATTTCTACGAATTGTTGGCTTTTCCGTGCTTACAATAAAATTTACAATGATCATTTTCGTGATGAGAATTTGATTGATAGTATCCCTGAGAATCGTGGTGATGGTCCTGATTCGGCTGATGACTATGTATTGCGGAAGCGTGGTAAGCGTTGGGACTATCTCACTGGCTGTCTTCCGTGGCCTCAGAAGGGCCCTGGTGCCAGTATCGGTCTCGCTGGTGATGCTCCTGTGCATGGTGATATTAACGGTCTTCGTTTCACTGATGGCACTACTAGTTATGTTATTGCTGGTCGTTCTGGCGGTACTACTGCTAATGGGATGCCCCTTTATGCTGTTTCTACTGGTTCTCGTCTGGATGTTGGTGCTACCGCTCCTTCTTCTGGTCTGACTTTGAATGCTAACCATGTTCTTGGTGTGCGTTCTGCGTCTGGTAATTCTGGTCTTGTTGCTGATCTCTCGGAAGCGGCATCCGTTACTATTAATTCGTTGCGGACTGCTTTTCAGATTCAGAAATGGTATGAAAAATGCGCCCGTGGCGGCACTCGTTACGGTGAGCTTCTGCGAGCCCATTTTGGTGTGATTAATCCTGATGCGCGTCTTCAGCGTTCTGAGTATATCGGTGGTGGTTCTATTCCTATCCAGATTCATACTGTGGCTCAGACTTCTGCTACTGATGATGTTACACCTCAGGGCAATCTTGCCGCGTTCGGTACTGCTTCAGGTCGTGCAGGCTTTTCTAAGTCGTTCACCGAACATGGCGTTATCATCGGTCTTGTTTCGGTGCGTGCTGATTTGACCTATCAACAGGGTCTTGACCGTGCGTGGTCTCGTCGTACCAAATTTGATTATTACTGGCCTTCCTTTGCTCACCTCGGTGAACAGGCTGTGTTTAACAAGGAGATCATGTATACTGGTACGGCACAGGATGATGAAGTCTTTGGCTATCAGGAACGTTGGGCCGAGCTTCGTTATGGTTCGTCTAAAATCACTGGTAAGCTCCGCTCTGGTGTGGCTCAGTCTCTTGATGTTTGGCATCTTGCCCAGCATTTCACGACTGTTCCTACTCTTAGTCAGCAGTTCATTGAGGAGAATCCGCCGCTTAAGCGTGTACTTGCTGTACAGGATGAGCCTGAGATTATCTTTGATAGTCTGACCACTTGTAATACTGTTCGGTGTCTTCCGACTTATTCTGTCCCCGGTCTTGTTGATCATTTTTAATATGGGTTTTTTTAAATCTATCAAGAAGGCCATTAAAAACCCCACTCATAGCACGCTTGGTAAAGCTGTTATGAGTGTGGGGTGATGGTACTGGCGGACTTGTGTCGCACTACAGCGACAAGCTACGACGTAGGTATGGTTTGACACGTTCTGCTTTGGTAATGTCGCCCGTCCCTAATTCGGCTGCATCTTCTAGTATGATCAGTCCTAATCGTCTTACTCTTTCTCAAATGACTGGAGGTAGATAATGTGGGGCGCTCTCGCTTCTTCTGCTGCTTCCGTTTATGGCGCTTGGCTTCAGTCCAATGCGGCTTCTCGTGCTAATCAAGCTAATATTGATCAGCAGGATATAGGCTAATGCCATGACGATTGATTTGTCTAATACGTCTCATCAACGTGAGGTTAACGATCTCCGCGCGGCTAATCTTAATCCGATTCTTTCTGCTGGTGGTAATGGTGCTTCTTCGCCTACGCTTGGTTCTGCTACTGTTCAGAATACTGGTTCTGACTTTGGCAACAGCGCGCGTGCCGTTGGAGCTTCTTTTCAACGTGCATTGAATACGGCTCAGCGGCTTGAGAATCATAGGACAGCCGCCGAGGTTGATAATCTTCATGTTCAAAATGGCAATCTCTTTGAAGACAATAAGTTGAAGCAAGCTCAGGTTGATCAGATTGAGCAGGAGACGCGCAAGGCTAAGGCTGATGCTGATTTTGCGGAAGCTAAGGCCGCTCTTGCTCAGCCTGTAAAACAAGGTATTACAGGTTTAGAGTCTAGCGCAAAACATATTGGCGCGGCTGTTGGCGAGGCTATTGGTAATAAGGTTAGTTCTGCCGCTTCGTCTCAGAGTTCTGGTAACTGGCAATTTTTTGATCCTGCCATTGGTCGGTATATTGACTGGTCCAAGGCACTTGAAAAATACGGTGATAAGGCTTTTGAGATGCATGAGGAATCATTAAAAAGAAGGAGTAAAGTAAAATGAGTAAGCGTAAGCGTCTGACTCGTCGTGGTTCTAAGAAGCTTTTTAAGACTACGGCTGTAAAGGTCCACAAGTCTAATCTCATCCGTCCTATGCGCGGTGGTGAGCGTATGTAGTGTTCAGCAATTCTTAGCAAGGGTCGTCTAAACGACCCACTCCACCAAGAGGCGGCGAACGGGTGGCCGCCCCTTGGTGGTTAGGCTCACCCGTTAGAGGTCGCATCTCTATGTCATGTGAAAATCCTTCTGTTCTTTTTCGTAGACGTGGTGTCAATCTTTTGACTGGTCGGTTTTATCCACCCGTTTCGTTTTCTTGGATTGTTGATCATGGTCTTTCGCCCTTAAGTTTTGAAGAAATCTCCGTTCCTTGCGGCAAATGTTTTTCTTGCCTGAAGTCCAAGGCGCGTGATGTGACTTTGCGTGCTTTCCATGAAGCTAAGGAGCATGCTCATAATTCGTTTGTAACTCTGACTGTTTCTCCCGAGAATCTTGGCAAGGTCTTTCCAGCCGTTCAAATGCCCGGCGGTCCTTTCCGTTATTCTCTCTCGCATCGTCCGTTTCAACTTTTTATGAAGCGTCTTCGGCAGAATCTTGGATATGATAAGATTCGTTTTCTGATGTGTGCTGAGTATGGAGAGAAAACAGAGCGTCCTCATTATCATTGCATTTTGTTTGGAGTTTCTCCTGATGAGCGTCAGCCTCTTGCCATTGTCAAGACTGATCCCCTTCTTGGCAGTTCTCGCTCTCTCTATTCTGGTTTTCTGCGCTCTGCGGCCATTGAAAAGGCTTGGCCTTTCGGCAATGTCTATATTGGTTTTTGTTCCCCTTCTTCTATTGCATATTGTGCTGGCTATACGATGAAGGCTTGGACACTTGGCCGTGACCGTAAATGGTATAGTTCTCGCGGTTTGCTCCCTGAGTATCAGAAATGGTCTCGGCGACCTGGTTTAGGTTCTCTCTGGCTAGAGCACAATCTTAGTGATTTGTATCGGTGTAATGATTTTTTACGTCCCGGAGTTGCCGATAATTCTTGCATGATGTCTGGTTGTACTCTACCGCTTCCAAAGTATTATCGTTCTCGTGTTCAGGCTTTGGCTTCTAAAGAAGTCGATCTTTTGTCTCCCGATCGTGATTTGGTATTGCTTTCGCGCAAAAAAAATGATATTATTATTAATAGTCAGTTGGAGTTAATGCGACTAGCTCCTTCTGAGTCGTATAAAGTTGGTGATGATGAGCGGTTAGAAGCTCTGAGGAATAGACTTGAACTGCAAAAGTTCAAAGTTGCTGAGCGTAAGCGGCTTTGATTCATTATTCATGAAAGGAGTTGTTATGAAGTATATTCTTGTTTCTGTCTATGATAGCAAGGCTAAAATTTATTCGCCTGTGTCTCAGGTTGAAAATGATACTGTTGCTACCCGTATGTTTTCGGATCTTGTGAATAGTGCGGACTCTGTTATTGGTAAGCATCCCGAGGATTTTACTCTTTTTAAGCTCGGTCTTTTCTCCGCAGAAGATGGCCTTCTTGAAAAGGTTGATCGTGTTGCGATTTGTAATGGTGTTGATCTTAAGCAGGTGTGATTATGTTTCATACTCGTTTTAATCCCCCGCCTAGTCCTTCGCTTGAGTGCGCTCTTGGTTCGTCCAAGACTATTCAGGATTTTAGGGATGAGGCTGATATCAATAAGCTGGTTAATCGGTTTTCTGAAACTGGCCAGTTTTATGACCCCTTGACTAATCAGAATGCTTCTCAGCGTCAGCCAATGTTGGTGATTTCACTTGTGCGCCTGATTATCAGGCCGCTTGTGATCTTGTTCTCGAAGCAAACGCACGGTTTGAGGCTCTTCCGTCTGATGTACGCGAACGTTTCGGCAATGATCCTGCCAAGCTCCTCGCGTTTCTCGATGATGATGACAATAGAGCTGAGGCGGTCAAGCTTGGTCTCGTTAACGCACCGCCAGAGCCGCCGACGACGCCGCCGACGACGACGGCGCCTGTGACGGAGTAAAAACAGTCGGGCATATCTATTAACTTGATTATATATGCCCGACTGACATATCAAATTCCGCTAAATTTTCACTTCCAATAAAGGTTCATTACAATGGGTTTTAATTCGTCTGATTGGTCTCGTTTGGCTCTTGAAATTCTACGGGTTATCATTGCCGCTCTTGCTGGCGGCGGAACTGCTGTTGTTACAGGTTCTTTTTAAGAGGATATAGTTATGCGCTCTGCTAGTAATTATTCGTTTGCCGTTGCTCCGTCTGTCCAAATGCCGCGCTCTTCGTTTAAGCGCGATCGCACCTATAAGACGGCTTTTGATTCTGGCTATCTTGTTCCGTTTTTTGCGGATGAGGTCTATCCCGGAGACACTTTCAATGGTTCTACTGTTGCCTTTGCGCGGCTTTCTACTCCCGTAGTGCCTTTCATGGACAATCTGCATATGGACTTTTTCTATTTCTTCGTCCCATTACCGTCTTCTCTGGGATCATTGGAAGAATATGATGGGTGAACAGGATAATCCTAGTGATTCTACGGATTATTTGACTCCTTTGGTTGAGTCCCCTTCTGCTGGTTGGTCCGTTGGTTCGCTCGCGGACTATTTTGGAATTCCTGTAGAAAAGCCCATTTCTACGAATTGTTGGCTTTTCCGTGCTTACAATAAAATTTACAATGATCATTTTCGTGATGAGAATTTGATTGATAGTATCCCTGAGAATCGTGGTGATGGTCCTGATTCGGCTGATGACTATGTATTGCGGAAGCGTGGTAAGCGTTGGGACTATCTCACTGGCTGTCTTCCGTGGCCTCAGAAGGGCCCTGGTGCCAGTATCGGTCTCGCTGGTGATGCTCCTGTGCATGGTGATATTAACGGTCTTCGTTTCACTGATGGCACTACTAGTTATGTTATTGCTGGTCGTTCTGGCGGTACTACTGCTAATGGGATGCCCCTTTATGCTGTTTCTACTGGTTCTCGTCTGGATGTTGGTGCTACCGCTCCTTCTTCTGGTCTGACTTTGAATGCTAACCATGTTCTTGGTGTGCGTTCTGCGTCTGGTAATTCTGGTCTTGTTGCTGATCTCTCGGAAGCGGCATCCGTTACTATTAATTCGTTGCGGACTGCTTTTCAGATTCAGAAATGGTATGAAAAATGCGCCCGTGGCGGCACTCGTTACGGTGAGCTTCTGCGAGCCCATTTTGGTGTGATTAATCCTGATGCGCGTCTTCAGCGTTCTGAGTATATCGGTGGTGGTTCTATTCCTATCCAGATTCATACTGTGGCTCAGACTTCTGCTACTGATGATGTTACACCTCAGGGCAATCTTGCCGCGTTCGGTACTGCTTCAGGTCGTGCAGGCTTTTCTAAGTCGTTCACCGAACATGGCGTTATCATCGGTCTTGTTTCGGTGCGTGCTGATTTGACCTATCAACAGGGTCTTGACCGTGCGTGGTCTCGTCGTACCAAATTTGATTATTACTGGCCTTCCTTTGCTCACCTCGGTGAACAGGCTGTGTTTAACAAGGAGATCATGTATACTGGTACGGCACAGGATGATGAAGTCTTTGGCTATCAGGAACGTTGGGCCGAGCTTCGTTATGGTTCGTCTAAAATCACTGGTAAGCTCCGCTCTGGTGTGGCTCAGTCTCTTGATGTTTGGCATCTTGCCCAGCATTTCACGACTGTTCCTACTCTTAGTCAGCAGTTCATTGAGGAGAATCCGCCGCTTAAGCGTGTACTTGCTGTACAGGATGAGCCTGAGATTATCTTTGATAGTCTGACCACTTGTAATACTGTTCGGTGTCTTCCGACTTATTCTGTCCCCGGTCTTGTTGATCATTTTTAATATGGGTTTTTTTAAATCTATCAAGAAGGCCATTAAAAACCCCACTCATAGCACGCTTGGTAAAGCTGTTATGAGTGTGGGTGATGGTACTGGCGGACTTGTGTCGCACTACAGCGACAAGCTACGACGTAGGTATGGTTTGACACGTTCTGCTTTGGTAATGTCGCCCGTCCCTAATTCGGCTGCATCTTCTAGTATGATCAGTCCTAATCGTCTTACTCTTTCTCAAATGACTGGAGGTAGATAATGTGGGGCGCTCTCGCTTCTTCTGCTGCTTCCGTTTATGGCGCTTGGCTTCAGTCCAATGCGGCTTCTCGTGCTAATCAAGCTAATATTGATCAGCAGGATAAGGCTAATGCCATGACGATTGATTTGTCTAATACGTCTCATCAACGTGAGGTTAACGATCTCCGCGCGGCTAATCTTAATCCGATTCTTTCTGCTGGTGGTAATGGTGCTTCTTCGCCTACGCTTGGTTCTGCTACTGTTCAGAATACTGGTTCTGACTTTTGGCAACAGCGCGCGTGCCGTTGGAGCTTCTTTTCAACGTGCATTGAATACGGCTCAGCGGCTTGAGAATCATAGGACAGCCGCCGAGGTTGATAATCTTCATGTTCAAAATGGCAATCTCTTTGAAGACAATAAGTTGAAGCAAGCTCAGGTTGATCAGATTGAGCAGGAGACGCGCAAGGCTAAGGCTGATGCTGATTTTGCGGAAGCTAAGGCCGCTCTTGCTCAGCCTGTAAAACAAGGTATTACAGGTTTAGAGTCTAGCGCAAAACATATTGGCGCGGCTGTTGGCGAGGCTATTGGTAATAAGGTTAGTTCTGCCGCTTCGTCTCAGAGGTTCTGGTAACTGGCAATTTTTTGATCCTGCCATTGGTCGGTATATTGACTGGTCCAAGGCACTTGAAAAATACGGTGATAAGGCTTTTTGAGATGCATGAGGAATCATTAAAAAGAAGGAGTAAAGTAAAAATGAGTAAGCGTAAGCGTCTGACTCGTCGTGGTTCTAAGAAGCTTTTTAAGACTACGGCTGTAAAGGTCCACAAGTCTAATCTCATCCGTCCTATGCGCGGTGGTGAGCGTATGTAGTGTTCAGCAATTCTTAGCAAGGGTCGTCTAAACGACCCACTCCACCAAGAGCGGCGAACGGGTGGCCGCCCCTTGGTGGTTAGGCTCACCCGTTAGAGGTCGCATCTCTATGTCATGTGAAAATCCTTCTGTTCTTTTTCGTAGACGTGGTGTCAATCTTTTGACTGGTCGGTTTTATCCACCCGTTTCGTTTTCCTTGGATTGTTGATCATGGTCTTTCGCCCTTAAGTTTGAAGAAATCTCCGTTCCTTGCGGCAAATGTTTTTCTTGCCTGAAGTCCAAGGCGCGTGATGTGACTTTGCGTGCTTTCCATGAAGCTAAGGAGCATGCTCATAATTCGTTTGTAACTCTGACTGTTTCTCCCGAGAATCTTGGCAAGGTCTTTCCAGCCGTTCAAATGCCCGGCGGTCCTTTCCGTTATTCTCTCTCGCATCGTCCGTTTCAACTTTTTATGAAGCGTCTTCGCAGAATCTTGGATATGATAAGATTCGTTTTCTGATGTGTGCTGAGTATGGAGAGAAAACAGAGCGTCCTCATTATCATTGCATTTTGTTTGGAGTTTCTCCTGATGAGCGTCAGCCTCTTGCCATTGTCAAGACTGATCCCCTTCTTGGCAGTTCTCGCTCTCTCTATTCTGGTTTTCTGCGCTCTGCGGCCATTGAAAAGGCTTGGCCTTTCGGCACTGTCTATATTGGTTTTTGTTCCCCTTCTTCTATTGCATATTGTGCTGGCTATACGATGAAGGCTTGGACACTTGGCGTGACCGTAAATGGTATAGTTCTCGCGGTTTGCTCCCTGAGTATCAGAAATGGTCTCGGCGACCTGGTTTAGGTTCTCTCTGGCTAGAGCACAATCTTAGTGATTTGTATCGGTGTAATGATTTTTTTACGTCCCGGAGTTGCCGATAATTCTTGCATGATGTCTGGTTGTACTCTACCGCTTCCAAAGTATTATCGTTCTCGTGTTCAGGCTTTGGCTTCTAAAGAAAGTCGATCTTTTGTCTCCCCGATCGTGATTTGGTATTGCTTTCGCGCAAAAAAAATGATATTATTATTAATAGTCAGTTGGAGTTTAATGCGACTAGCTCCTTCTGAGTCGTATAAAGTTGGTGATGATGAGCGGTTAGAAGCTCTGAGGAATAGACTTGAACTGCAAAAGTTCAAAGTTGCTGAGCGTAAGCGGCTTTGATTCATTATTCATGAAAGGAGTTGTTATGAAGTATATTCTTGTTTCTGTCTATGATAGCAAGGCTAAAATTTATTCGCCTGTGTCTCAGGTTGAAAATGATACTGTTGCTACCCGTATGTTTTCGGATCTTGTGAATAGTGCGGACTCTGTTATTGGTAAGCATCCCGAGGATTTTTACTCTTTTTAAGCTCGGTCTTTTCTCCGCAGAAGATGGCCTTCTTGAAAAGGTTGATCGTGTTGCGATTTGTAATGGTGTTGATCTTAAGCAGGTGTGATTATGTTTCATACTCGTTTTAATCCCCCGCCTAGTCCTTCGCTTGAGTGCGCTCTTGGTTCGTCCAAGACTATTCAGGATTTTAGGGATGAGGCTGATATCAATAAGCTGTTAATCGGTTTTCTGAAACTGGCCAGTTTTATGACCCCTTGACTAATCAGAATGCTTCTCAGCGTCAGCCAATGTTTGGTGATTTCACTTGTGCGCCTGATTATCAGGCCGCTTGTGATCTTGTTCTCGAAGCAAACGCACGGTTTGAGGCTCTTCCGTCTGATGTACGCGAACGTTTCGGCAATGATCTGCCAAGCTCCTCGCGTTTCTCGATGATGATGACAATAGAGCTGAGGCGGTCAAGCTTGGTCTCGTTAACGCACCGCCAGAGCGCCGACGACGCCGCCGACGACGACGGCGCCTGTGACGAGTAAAAAACAGTCGGGCATATCTATTAACTTGATTATATATGCCCGACTGACATATCAAATTCCGCTAAATTTTCACTTCCAATAAAGGTTCATTACAATGGGTTTTAATTCGTCTGATTGGTCTCGTTTGGCTCTTGAAATTCTACGGGTTATCATTGCCGCTCTTGCTGGCGGCGGAACTGCTGTTGTTACAGGTTCTTTTTAAGAGGATATAGTTATGCGCTCTGCTAGTAATTATTCGTTTGCCGTTGCTCCGTCTGTCCAAATGCCGCGCTCTTCGTTTAAGCGCGATCGCACTATAAAGACGGCTTTTGATTCTGGCTATCTTGTTCCGTTTTTTGCGGATGAGGTCTATCCCGGAGACACTTTCAATGGTTCTACTGTTGCCTTTGCGCGGCTTTCTACTCCCGTAGTGCCTTTCATGGACAATCTGCATATGGACTTTTTCTATTTCTTCGTCCCTTACCGTCTTCTCTGGGATCATTGGAAGAATATGATGGGTGAACAGGATAATCCTAGTGATTCTACGGATTATTTGACTCCTTTGGTTGAGTCCCCTTCTGCTGGTTGGTCCGTTGGTTCGCTCGCGGACTATTTTGGAATTTCCTGTAGAAAAGCCCATTTCTACGAATTGTTGGCTTTTCCGTGCTTACAATAAAATTTACAATGATCATTTTTCGTGATGAGAATTTGATTGATAGTATCCCTGAGAATCGTGGTGATGGTCCTGATTCGGCTGATGACTATGTATTGCGGAAGCGTGGTAAGCGTTGGGGACTATCTCACTGGCTGTCTTCCGTGGCCTCAGAAGGGCCCTGGTGCCAGTATCGGTCTCGCTGGTGATGCTCCTGTGCATGGTGATATTAACGGTCTTCGTTTCACTGATGGCACTACTAGTTATGTTATTGACTGGTCGTTCTGGCGGTACTACTGCTAATGGGATGCCCCTTTATGCTGTTTCTACTGGTTCTCGTCTGGATGTTGGTGCTACCGCTCCTTCTTCTGGG